AAACAACTTCATAATTAATGTAATGTCGCGTCATCTATTAGAAACTAAGTTCATAAGTAAATCTAATTTCATGAGAGTTTTTTGACCAATTTAGTTTTTGTTTTGCAAATTCTTATCTCGACTTCTTTATTTGTTTTGTTTTGACGATCAGTTTGTCATATTTCTTATTTGTATGTAATACCAATCACAATAACATAATGTGTACGCACATTGGTATATAATACAAAGAAAATCTCAGCCATTGTTAATTTTGGTCAACGGATAAATACGGTTCACAAGAATTAGTAATTTCGTTACCTCATGAAATTAAAAGAAAAATTGTTTTCAAAATTTATTAGAATAGTGTTTTGATAGAATGCTCTTTTTTAACAGAAAAAATTCAGAACTACAATCAATTAACTATTTTCTAGGTTACATTAATGATTATAAACTTAAAGTAAAGTATATTTCATAGCTCTATACAAACATCCTTGATTTTAACTTTGAAATATGTGTATTTTTGTAATGTGCTGTGTTGTACAAAAATATTATTGTAATACAAATACCAAAGCTAGTATAATTCGTGAATGAAGAACAAAAAAGCCGCTCACCTATATCCCGCTCTAATAAATTATAAAAGACAGTTTTGTGTACATCCCAGCTCAGTGATCCTATTTATAGTTATTTTAGCATTGATGGTGTCAAAAAAGTCCACATACCAAGTACAAAGCTGAATACATGAAAATATCTCAGTAATACAAATACATATTTCTGGCCACTAGGAATAACAGCCAAAACAAATATGAAATAACTTTTAAACACGGCTCTTTCGACTTAAATGTATTCTTACAATTTCTCTAATGAAGATGGACCACAAGAAATGTTAGCTTATTCTTTAACTGCGAACGCTTGGTAAGATTATAAATATATTATTTTTCAAAGTTAGCAGTCGTTTGCTGAACTATGTAAATTTAGAAAATAAAATTATTTCCCTGAAAAAAAATCCTTTACCATGAAAACTTTCCTATATTTTGACAAATTATGAACATAAGAATTAATTTTACCTATTCCTAACTTTTGACTGAAAACTTCCCTAACTTTTGACAAATTATGAACATAGAACTTAATTTTACCTATTCTTAACTTTTGACTGAAAACTTCCCTAACTTTGACAAATTATGAACATAAGACTTAATTTTACCTATTCCTAACTTTTGACTGAAAACTTCCCTAACTTTGACAAATTATGAACATAAGACTTAATATTACCTATTCCTAACTTTTTGACTGAAAACTTCCCTAACTTTTGACAAATTATGAACACAGAACTTAATTTTACCTATTCCTAACTTTTGACTGAAAACTTCCCTAACTTTGACAAATTATGAACATAAGACTTAATTTTACCTATTCCTAACTTTTTGACTGAAAACTTCCCTAACTTTTGACAAATTATGAACATAAGACTTAATTTTACCTATTTCTAACCTTTGACTGAAAATGCGAAAGTCATATTTGGTTTGCGATAAAAAGCAGCATATAAGCAACATTTGATAATTAACTGTAAGAAACAGTTTTCATTTGTTCAGCCTAATTTCTATTCAAAGACTTATTCTTCAAAGAAACTTTGATCTCCACCCTTTTCAACATAAGGCATGATAATAGCCTTATGTTTCTAAAGTTTGGTATTTAATCAACTTTTGATCGTGTGTCACACAAAAGCCAGTAATAATTGTAGAAATGACATAACTACAAGCAATGGAGTCATACTAGAAGAAGAGTTGTATTCCTGTGCAGACTGCAAAGGTTTATCATTACAAACAACTTTTTGTCCCTCGGAGGATTGGTACATTGATACATCCATATCTTCGAAATCACTCTTTATTTCATCACTGGAACTAGTGACACCTTTAGAATTGCCTGTTTCGTCAATACGCTGTACTTTGCCTTCCCCGGTCTCTAGCGAACCGCGGTTAAGATGGCTGCGTGATGAAGCTTTGCAATGGAACCACCAAACAGACGTGGACCGTGGATAGGGTGGTTTTCCACTGTCAACCTGCAAGACAAGAAGTTATTCATTCAGTTATTGATAATTTTACATAAATGAAATATACTGTAAAGTACTTATACTTATGAACGTAATTCCAGACAATCGTTTCATCTAGATGTAGATATTTATTTAATAAGTGATGTCTTTTATGTCACATATGAATTTACTCACTTATGTTATATTGAGTATATGAATATAAATATACAAAGAGCACATTCTTCAGGCCAGAATACTGAAATGTGTTTATTAAATATTGCAATTAAAAAGAACACAAGTGGGCGGTGTATGTACCATGAATTGTCTCAGCAGACCTTACCATCAGGGAGCACCATTGTCAAGCACAGTCTACACAATGAATTTAGGCTTAGGTTCTTCTCCAGAAAGAGAATATTATCCCTGAGCAAATGGAAATTAAAAACAATTTGGGATAATAAGTGAGAGGAAGAACTTTACAGACCCGAGAAGCACCTAAGATATTACAAAGGAACCCTCTGCAGGCTGTTTTAAACAGTTTTTGTTTGCAATTTTCTCCATTTTCTCATGTGTATTAATCGTAATTATCTTTACAGGATGTTTTTATGTTTATAAGTCTATTTGTCGTTCTTTCTTAAAAAGTGTTTGTTTGTTTTTGTTACCTGAAAGACACTTTTTACACGCAATAAGGTAAGCGGCCAGGTCAGAGATCCTCCCCCAGTTCAGACATAGCCATCCCTCATGTTGAAATGCACAACAGAGAAAAGGACAAAGTTGGCAGCACCCAACGCCTGAATAACCGAATAGCGGAGCTAACTTTCAATTTTATAACGCCCACAGTTGAAAAAGCAAAGTATGTTTGGTAAGCCTATGAAATGTCAACATGTACATACAACTACTGCCTAAAGGTTCCACCAAAAATTAAGTTAAATGTTAAATTGATTTCAAATATGTCATTATAACAAAGAAATAAACACTGTTTTCTTTAAAATTCAAATTTGTAAATAACGATAGAGCTAATGAGATGAAGCATTATATACTTACAGACAATGAAGAAGAATAAAACTAGTGCTGGGTGCATGTCTAAATGTAGTGTAAATACTTACTAATATTTTTTGGCAAGTTATAATAGATGTTATAAGGTGTTCAAACCATACAAACAGCAAAGTCATGTTAATACTTTAAATGTGCAATGTCTATTTGTGTATCACAGCTTGCAGATATAACAATGATACAAGTCCTGGATTATATTCATTTTAAAGACAGGTGGTTTTTTACAAAAGCTACAGGTATCCCAAATCTAGACGTATGTTGACATAACATCTAATCTCTTCGGTAGGCCTGCACTCGTTTGTATACATGTGGAAATAATTATGATCATGGATAAACGCAGGAATCTTCTCAACGTTTTTTTTTCAGTGCACATTGCATATCCACTCGATTAATTTGTCATAGAAGAGTTTGTATGCATGTTTCCTTTCTTACAGGTGTTGCCAAACACCGCATATACGAAATATATAGCCCAGCATGGCCAGGTGGTTAGGGCGCTCGACTCACAATCTGAGGGTCGCGGGTTCGAATCCGCATCCCACCAAACATGCT